GCTGTGTTTGTCATAATTTTGCCCTCAGTCTGTTTGTGTTGTTTTGTCTGTTTTGATATGAAAAAAGACAAGAAAAAAAAATAATAATAAAAATAAAAAATAAAAAAAAATTGTCTGTTTTGATTGTTGTGGAGCTCTGAGTGGTAGGTCTACGACCGCTACCTTCTTCCCCCGAATACAACTTGAACGGATGCATTGGTTATTATAGCTGTATTTGAGCCATCTTTCAGTCTACATACACAGCTATAATGACTGTACGTTGTATTCGGAGGAAGAAGGTAGAACTCCCTAGATGTTTTCTGGTGTAGGGTTGTAGGTCGCTTGCGGGCTGGCTGCCTGTTTGTAGAAAATACTTAAATAGGAAGTAACGAGAAGTACCGGGTCTTTTGCATCTCGTTTGGCTGCCAGTAGGGGGGCGTGGAACTCTGCCCGTCCGTTGCTGGAGTGCTGCTGCACTATTTTGGGCGAGGTTATCTTCTTCATCGAAACTGGGAAACGAAGTTGGCGATCGCAGTGCTGCTATTTTGTAGCTCTGCATGAGAGCTTCCACAGGTCTGTGTTGTTCGGTTCGGGCGCTGCCATTTTCCACTTGGCAGCCATATCTGCTGTGTTCCTCCTCACGAGGAACTTCGTTCATCTCCTTTGATGTGCTTGATCGTTTGTCTCCGTCTTCATCAGGACTTACGGGATTTCCGGCGCTGCACTTCCCGTGCGCACGCTGAGCTGGCTCTGCTATCATAATGACATTGTGGTTGCTGGTTCAGATGGGCACGTTGTGACAGTTATGGGTTTATTTCCAGCAGGTGAAGCTCCCCCCCCACCAATAGATGGAGCGGCTGGGTTACTGCTGCTACGTATGGCAGCCATAGCCAGGAGGGAAGGGTATGAGGTGGCAAGGAGGAAGAAGAAGAACAGCCCTGCATGCATGCTTCGTTCGTTGAACACAGTCTTGTTTCTGGTTGTTCCGGGTTGTCGTAAACGCGGTTGTGATTCTTGGAACAAGTTTCTCTGGATTGATTGACGAGGACGGGGGATTGCAGAATTGAAAATTCGTTCGTTTTTCGATAATTTTCACATGTGCATTTTGAGCTTCCGCCGCTGTGCATATCTTAACTCGCCGGTTTTTTGTAGATTTGCCGCCTCCGAGTCTACTCTGCAATTGCATGCATGCATGCATGCATGCATGGGAACGTGCGAATTTTGTTGTCCGTTGAAGCTCAATCGGCTGCATAACAATAGAAAGGGCCAGCTGACAGTGTGGGCCACTGCGTGGATTTTCAAAAAGCAAAGAAAGAAATTACCAAGGGGCATAGGATGATGTCCCACTATCAGGAGCCCGTCCCACGGGCCCAAAATTTGTGTTCCTGCCATCAAAAAATTGTGTGTGTGATCTGTAGTCTCTAGAGAATTGGTTATTAAAATTGGAACCAAGTCCTTCGGGACATCCGTTAAAATTGGAACGATACAGAGAAAGAAGATTAGCATGGCCCCTGCGCACTCAAAGATAACACGCATAAATCGAGAAATGGTCCATATTAAAAAAAAAAAGAAAAAAGAAAAAAAGAAAAAAAAAAGGAACCAATCGTGTGGACCATAGTACCCGTTCTCCGGGAGAACGCAATTGGTTATTAAAATTGGAACAATATAATCTTCCACAGTACACGTGTCATCCTTCCGCAGGGGACATCCGTTAAAATTGAAACCATATGATATAGAGGAAGAAGATTAGCGAACGACCCCTGCGCAAGGATGACACGCATAGACTTTCCAAATAATAACCAAATCGCCCACTAAGTATGGAAGGCTGAAGGCGCAAGAGCGCTCTTTTGTTTGATTGAGAGAATTCTCGCGTAAAGTCTCTGAGGATCCCAAGCAACAGCTCGGCGGTCGCTGGCTAGGGCGAGCGGCCTCCACAAAAAACAAACAAACAAAGGAAATTAAAAAAAAAAAAAAAACAGGAGTGAAGCACACATGTAGGTCCAGCAAGCTTAAGCCCCCTGGCGCCTACCACCAGTGTCCGGTCAGGTAATCCCCGTTGCAGATGATGGGTGGGTGATAATGCTGACCGGTAGTGAGAGGTAGGGTCATTGTGGGAGTAGGGGTGCGCCAGGGAAAAAAGGAGGAGAGTGCGAGCAAGGCATTCTCGTAAGGTGACTGTCATATATGTCTAGCATCCACCCTCTATAATTTCTATTGGGGGAAAACTGTGGCGGTGACGCACTTGTAGTTTGAAATGGGTCAGAAAAGACAAAGTGGCACCGGTGTTATGGTGTGAGTTTCGAAATGTGCGCGTCCAGAGGGGGGGGGTCTAAAACTGCACCAGTCATTATCTGCAGTGGTGCTTGGCAGATTTAGGGTAGGGTCCCCTTTTTTGCTCCATTCCATTTCGGGAACTGCTGTAGTCGCCCCTGCTGAGCATTGGGTGCGACTGCAAAGTACTCGCGGCTACCCAAGAGCATAGCTCAGTTGGTTGGTACAGCAGTGTAATTGTTGAAATATAGACCTGAGTTTGAATCCAGATGATGGAAGATGACGAGGAAAAAAGCAAATATTTCTGAATTGCCTGGGGCTGGTCAGCTCAATGACGATATCTCAAGGCCATGGCCCTTCAGAAAAAAAAAAGAAAAAAAGTATCCGTCTTTTTTCTATGAAAAGAAAAAGACAAAAGAACGGGTGCTGAGGGGCATTCTAAATTTCGGAGGGCATACTCACACACACTGCACAAAATTGCAAAATTGCTAAATCTGCAAAAAGCAATTTTGCAATTTCGAATTTGATATTTAAGTGTGCGGCATACTCACTCGTGTAGCAAAACAGCAAAATGTGAATGAGACATGTCCGCGACTTTCTGATAATTGCTCCATCTGTCTGCTATGTGTGTGGTCGCACACCTCATAGCAGAATCTGAGGGGGGGGCATTTTTCTTTTGTTTTGGGTTTTCATTTGCCTGGGTTTCTTTTGTTAACTCGGTCGGGAATTCGAAAGTGCCACCAGTGAGCCTACCTCAGTTGTTACACCCATGAACTGCTGAATAACAGGCCCAAGTTCGAATCCTGACGGACCTTGATGAATGCAAGGACGTTATACCTGGGCTCGGTCCGCTCGATGATGATACCTCAAGTTCGTCACCCTTAAAAAAAAAAAACAAAAAAAAAACAGCCTTGCTGCGGCCCCGGTGGGCATCAGTACGATCAATCCACTCCGCTCATGCGATAGATCCGGATCTCACTAACGGAGTGGGATTGAACGCACACTGATGGAGGGCCGGGCCTCGATCACACGAAGTGCCCTCTCTCTCTCTCCCCTCCATTCATGCGACTAAATGGACGGGAGAGGACATAAGTTCCGTTCCATTGATCGAACTGACGATCCGAGGGGGAGATCAGGGCATAACTGCAATCAACGGCTCTGATGGACGGGGGAGGGCGTTTGTGTGATCATGGCTCTGTCCACTACTCTCCAAATGTGCAAAATGAGAAGGAATCTTCAGCAAGAACATGGAAAGATACACCGCCATTATTGCTTGTCTGTGACTTTTCTCGCGCCTGCAGGAGAGGCAGGCCAGCCATCGACTTGTCCCGCTATTTCAGACTCACCCCTCAATCACTGGCCACACTGGAAGCAGCGAGGGAGTATCCCGTTGAAAACCGACTTAAGCTGACAAAAAAATAATAATAATAATAAAATAAAATAAACGGCTCTTGATTAATTTTTGAAGACAACAACATACATGTCCACCATAGCCACACACCTCGCACTCCACGCGAAATGTTGTGCGGCATGGAGGACAACAACAARAAAARAAAARAAAAGGRAAAAAAAAAAAAAAAAAAAAAAAAAMACCCCAAAGTTCCGCCAAGTGGCAGTGATGTCTCCTCCCTCCTCCCTCTGCGAAGAATGGCACGGCAGAAGTTTACCACAACAACGTGCGCCTCCGCAGGTGCATGTCACACCAACCGCAGCAAGAGGGGCGCAGTCATGCCTGCCTGCCACGAAGGACACCAACTTCATGGAAGCTATGGGAATGGTCGTTTCCCAGAGAGCATTATCTCACTGGCAGGGCGTTGATCTTCCCGCTTCTCCGACCTGCATCGCATCTGCTGAGCAGTCCAGGTGCGATGCACCGACATAACCAGACCACTTGCGTGACTGGGTATGGTGGGAACACCGAGAGCAGGAAGTGGGGGGGGGAGGCCCCCACAGGTCCGCAGAAAAAACAGCACCAAGGGAAGCGGAAGGTGTGTCTATATTCTGCCGGAGGACCAGACTTAATCTATTCGTATGCAGGAACAAGGGGAGAAACTGCGGAGGAGGGCGGAAGGGCAGCGGAAGTGGGTATGGAATGCACCTGGGGGTGGAAGAGACTCCACCAGCGACTAAGGACAAACCAGTTACACAGAGGCAATCTGCTGCACATGACGCCAAAAAATTGTGCCGCTTCTTATGACCGTCCCGGAAGTAAACCAAATCTACCATTCTTGGACCTTGCCCGCCGAGGGTTTTCTTTTTTTTTTTAATCCAGAAAGTCAAATGCAAATTTGTGAGGACCTCTAGAGGGTCCTGGCAATTTGCTGCACCCCGCGGCCCAGCATACTGCTGACCAATGCTACACCGTCAATTTGTGATTGTGCTGGGAGCGGGGCCAATGTGGGACTGCAAAACAACAGCAGGTTTTGCGATTTTGAGAATTAGACCCCCTAGTGTGAGTAGCATGCCCTGAGACTGAGGGGGCATCCCCAAACGACTCTCGAAATGTGCAAAATGAGAATGAACTTCCCGCTAGAACATTGCCAGATGAAATGCAATTCGTTATGCAATTCCTAACCGCGGTGCAAGTCGTTATCTGTCATCAGTGAAATGCATCGCGGGCGGACACTATCAGGGTTCGACCTCCTGATGAGTCGGTGAGAGTTCGGCGAAAAAGATTGGTACGCTCATCATCCTCATGTTTGTGGAGTTGTACATAGCAAACATGACAACACACCACACTACTGAAGCCAGGATTGCAATTGCATTTATCCTTTCAAATTGGAACGAACGATAATACAGAGAATGACGATCGGCAAGGCGGCTGTGCAAGGATGGCATGCATAAATCGAGAGAACTGCAAAGGGGGGAAGAGAGGGGGGGGGGGGAACTGAAGCCAATTGTTGTGGAGCTTGTGCACAATGAATGTTGCAACACACTACCGAAGCCTGAAATGCAATTGCATTATCCTTTCAAATTGGAGGGATAACACAGAGAAGACCGGCGTGGCCCCTGTGCAAGGATGATACGCACATATCGAGAAATGAACACACACACACACACACACACACACACACACGCGACCATGCACATATGGCAACATAAGAAACGCACCATGTTGGTTAATATGCTCTACTGAAGAAAGATGGGAGCTGCCATAGTGAATACACCCCCTAGGGCAGGAGCTACATGGGGTATACTTACACAGGGAACAATTCAACCGAATCTGGCTGCTGTTACAGTCAGATACATCCAGGAAGACTGGGGTGCGAGTCTATCTCCTCAAAGTTGGTAACCTGGTCTGGTTTACCTGCAGGGGGCAGAACAGCAGTCCACGGGCAGATGCTCCTGCTGTCTGGCTACCCATTCCGTCCCCCGTGGACCCCTCTACTTCCAGGTTTTCCAAGGAAAAGGGCAGGATGATTTCAACCGAAAATAGCCAAGGTCATTCAGATGGAGACGCTTGTCCCCTGTCTTTGCGTATTAGGCCCTTGGGGCTTTCCCTCTTTGAAGATAGCCCTGCCTAGCAGTCCAGCTGGCTATTAGCTGTACTGGTTGGCAGTATGGACGCATTCCCTCCTCTCCTCCCCCCTCCCCCGACTCCTCCCACCTCCCCCGACTCCTGCCCCTCCCCCCTCCTGCCCCCTCCCTGCCATCACCACACACACACATGATCTCTTTGGCTGTCACCACAAAATGGCATGGTACGACACTGTGAAAAAAAATCACAGACGGATCGGAGATCCGTGCCATGCTCACGGTCATAGCTGCTATGCTTCACTATGCCGAAAATAATAATAAACAGCAATAATTTCATTATGTCAAACAACAAAGAAAGTGAAAACGAGAAACGCGAACGGAGGAAGGCGGCTCTCGCTCTCCGTCACAGACGTCCCAAGCTTCTTTCCGGCAATGACGTCCTTTTTCAACGAGCAAGGGATACGCCTTTTGCCGCAGTGTGTCCGACCTGAACTGCGTACAGCTCGTACACATTCCTTCCATGGACAACTGTCTGACAAGGTCTGCATTTCACCACAGCGTGTCCGACTTGAGCTGCGTAAAACTCATAGACGCTCCTTCCGTCAATGACTTCCCGGCAAGGGTTGCTTTTCGCCACAGTGTGTCCAAACCGAGATGCGTATATCTCGTAGAGACATTTGCTCCGCCGAATCGCGATGACGACTGTCCAACAAGGGTACAACTTGTAGACGACACTCCTTCCGTCGATGACTTCCCGGCAAGGGTTGCTGCTTTTAAATAACCTTTGACAGCCCGCATAAATAACAACAACTTGCTTTTCAATCGAGATTGGACTATATTGTGGTTGTTTCAACACTGCTGTTAGTCTCACGCCACGGTTTAATAAATATTGAGTGGCAGCATCAAGATCTGAGCCAAATTGAGCAAAAGCAGCTACTTCACGATATTGTGCAAACCCAGATGCGTATAACTTGTAGACATTCGTTCCGCCGAGTCGCGTTGACGACTGTCCGCCAAGGATTGCCTTTTACCATGGCGTGTCAGACCCAAACTGCGTAGAACTCACAGACATTCCTTCTGTCGACGACTGCCCAACAAGTGCAGGGTCGATGGCCAGGAAGCGGGCGTCAGGCATTCTCCACCAAAATGTGTCTAGCGGGTCGTTGACAAAGAACGAGGCAACCAACTTTTCGGCTCCCTCGAGCGAGACGAGGTAAGCATGCGTCTGCCATGATGGTGTCGCATAGACCAACGTTGGACTGACACGTGGCGGACTCTCTCGTCTCGGCTCGACGACCATCTTCCGACCCAGCAGGCACACATCAAATTTGGCACTTATGCTCCGCTCATCAATGAGGCCATTCAACTGCACACCAAGTTTTTTTTTTTGTCATCACACACAATCACAGCCAAAGTCAATTGCACACATCCCTCAACTGTTCGAAAAAGAGGTCGGCGTTTCTTTTTTTTCTTTTTTTCTTTTTTTTAATACCAAAAAACACACACAACCCCTTCTATTCCGGGGGTTACCAGTCCGGTTGCTTATCCATGGCAAGCATAAGAGAAGGCGTTCAGCAATGCAAACCAAGAACTTCCAAACAAACACTTTGTTTTTCACTCTTCTTCTCTTCTGCTCTGTCCTTCCCTCTCCTCTGCTCTCCTCTCTTCTCTTCACTACTTCACTCCCTATGCCGTGCATACCGTTCTATTCTGATCTAACACTGTGAGGTTCAGTTCTCTTTGGTTCTGGTGCTATGACGTTCAGTTCTGTTTCACCTGTTTCAGGCAGATTGCTTAGCTTGTCAATTCGTCTCTGTATCTCTGTCTGACTCTCCCAGTCTGTCTGTCAGTCCATCAGTCTGCCACTCTGTCTGTTTGCCTGTCTGTCTGTTTGTCAGTCTGTCAGTCTGTCTGTCTGTCTGTCTGTCTGTCTGTCTGTCTGTCTGTCTTTGGTCCAGTCTGTCGGTCTGTCTTTGGACCAGTCTGTCTGCCTGCTATGTGTCTGTCAGTCTGTCAGTCAGTATGCCATTCTGCCTGTCAGTCGGCAAGCCGATCTGTGTGTCTGTCGGTCAGTCCGTCAGTCTGCAACTCTATCTGCCTCTGTCTGGCCGTCTCTTTGCCTGTCTGCGGCTGTCTTTGGGCCAGTTTGTCTGCCTGCTACGTGTCAGTCTGTCAGTCATTATGCCAGTCTGCCTGCCAGTAAGCCAGCCGATCCGTGTGTCTGTCGCTCAGTCCATCAGTCTCCCACTCTCTCTGCCTGTCTCTTTGCCTGTCTGYGTCTGTCTTTGGGCCAGTTTGTCTGCCTGCTACGTGTCAGTCTGTCAGTCATTATGCCAGTCTGCCTGTCAGTCAGCCAGCCGATCCGTGTGTCTGTCGCTCAGTCCGTCAGTCTCCCAATCTCTCTGCCTCTCTCTGCCTGTCTGTGTCTGTCTTTGTGCCAGTCTGTCTGCCTGCTATGTGTTTTTAATTTTCACCACAACAGCCCCCCTATTCCACCCAGATGAACAGATCCAAAGCCACTTGGTCTCCCTCTCCGTCTGTTTGTCAATCTAAACCTCCAGCGCCCAGGACGCCAAGAGTGTTGATGGAAGGCAGCACCGCCACAGCAGTTCGTGGTTGGATGTTAAACCACCAGTACACGGCCCCAGCCTTGCTGAAAAGGAACTCATCACCCATCCCGAAAAAGTCGGTGTCAAGCCGCCGTTGGTAAATTCCGTCGACGGTCTTTGTCGCTTCCGGCCTCCCAGAAAACGGCCCGCGGCCGATGTACTGCATGCATGCACCGCAGCACCGGCGGTTTTAAGTGTAGGGATGAAGTTGACGGTGGAAGAAAACCCCTGCGGATGATCGCCGAAACTGGAGCCACATTGCCGAACTAAATTTTCATTTTGAAAAATTGAGCTAGGCTCAATCTGCAGGGAACTAGATCCACCGGTTGCGTGCTGAAAACGAAAAAGGAACAGGAACAGGAAAAGGAAGATTCAAAGATTGGGCCTCGCTCCATTACACAACACTCTATATGATATTCTGGAGTGCACAATCGTCCTGATACATTCAAACTGTCAGACTCGTCCGAATGCACCTGGTCCAAAAAGCGTCCAAAGACTCCAAAATTCCAAATGCATGTAGTATGTTGAGTAGTGCAGCGACAACCATTGACAAGACGATGCCCATCCTCGTCAATTCTTCCCAAATTTCTTCTGAAATCAAGGAAGCTTCTCATCTCAGTAACTGATCAAGAAGAAGAAAAAGAAGGATCTCAGGTCTTTTGCAGGGACCAGTGCCGGCTCCAGAGCACATGGTGGCATGCAGGGACCAGTCCCAACAGAAGCTTCTGCAGGGACCAGTGCCGGCTCCAGAGCACAGGGTGGCATGCAGGGGCCAGTCCCAGCAGTATCTTCAACAGGGACCAGTCCCGGCAGTATCTTCAGCAGGGACCAGTCCCAGCAGGGAGCAAATGGTGGCATACAGGGACCAGTCCTCAAACCTCAAGTGTTCTGCAGGGACCAGTCCCAGCAGAATCTTCAGAAGGGACCAGTGCCGGCGCCAAAGCACATGGTGGGGTGACGATTGAGAATTTCCGCAACAGATAGTCCTGCGTAAGTTGTTAGAGAGAGTGAGGAAACAAACGACATTTTTCTGGAGGAGCGAAGTGATGAAACAAGTGGGACAGAGAGAGAAGTGAACCAAGGGGCAGCTTTTTGGAGGAGAAGGAGAGAAGGTTAACAACAGTTATATTTTTCATCACCACTTCGGGAGACCCTTCACCACTTCAGGATTCAGCCTGCCTAAACAGGTGGTTTTCAGGGTGTTCGGATCCTTCACCACTTCAGGACCGTTCAGGATTTTCAAACTGCCAAAACTCTCACTTCAGAATTTTCATTACCGAATTTTCAGCTACCCCTTGGGCCGTAGAGCTGCTTGCACTTATTCGACATTTCCTCCCAAGTCATTTCACAATGTCGAACTAGAGTCAAGCTCAGCAGGGCCTTCTTTCCCTGCCTATCTTGTCTTACCTTCCACAACCTCTCCATGGCCACGGTGCCATCAGGCAGAACCACATCCCCGTATTGTTTTGGAAATTCATCAGAACGATTGATCCCCGTCAATGGTGGAGTTCTGCTAAGAGATGTATGCAGCCTCCCTCCTTTTTCTTTTTTTTTGTCCCTGCGATGGTGGCCGGGTAGGCACTGGGGGCCTAACTGGCCACACGGCCAGGCTGACGAGTAGGCAAGCAGGCTTAGTGAGTCAACTTTTTGCCCTTTATCATTATTTATTCATTCACAGCGATCTGTACTTAGACAGAGCGGTCACTACATATTCATCCAGACCGATTTGTACTTAGTCACTTGAACCTTCGTGGAAACTTCGTGGCATCTTCGTAGAAATTCGTGGTACCTTCGTCATAAAAGACTGCAGAGCTGATCATATGGCATAAAACGAAGCTCTCTCTTAAAACAAAACAAAACAAACAAACAAACAAACAAACAAAAAAAAAAACAAAAAAAAAAACCACTAAGCCAGGGTTGCCAGGCCGAACGTAGGCCTCTAAGCTGACCCCCGAACGTTCGGGCGTTCGGGTCCCCGTACGGGGCCCGAACTTGAAGGGGTTCGGCCCCCGCAAAAAAATATTTTAACACCTAAATATTATTTTTTTTTCTGAATTTTTTTTTGTGTAATTTTTTTGTGATATAAGTTATCTCCCTCTCAATTTTGAAGCCATTCTGTTCAGCCACAAAAATATGAAAAATCCTTTATGTTTTTCCTTTATTTCGAGGCATGAAAAAAATTATTATTTTTTCAAACTTTATTTGTAGATTCTCTATTACGTAAGATACACATATATAAATTTTCATGGCATTTTTCACAGCCAAAAAAAAAATGAAAAATCGCCAAAGATGGCGGTGTCAAAAGCGTGCTCGCCCACTCAATGATTTCATTCTCGTTTTATTTTTTCTAATTTTCATTATTATTATTTATTTTTAGTATTTGATTTTTTTTTCAAATTTGGTAAAGAATTTGGATGTAATGTTGAGGCACATATTTTTTAGTTTATTGTTCTGTATAACTTTTTTTTTTTCAAATTTTTTGGAATTTTTTTTTTCTTTTTTTTCTTTTTCTTTTTTTTTGGGGTCCAAAGGGGGTGCCGAACGTTCGGGCGTTCGGCCCGTTCCGAATGCCGGCAACCCTGCACTAAGCTGTATTCTTCTCTCAATTTCACCTTTCACTACCTACCTACCATTACTCCTAAAAAGCCTATACAGGGGAAGACCCCTGCAAGCATAGCTACCTCTCACAATTAAGGGTATGCATCATACCTGCAGCGCAAGTGTGCGGTGCGCTGGTCACCGATGCCCAAAAAAAAAAAAAAACATGGCATGCCAAGTATATATGCTGTTGATGCACATTAAGGTCAGTGTTTCAGCAGTTATGGGACCACTGAGCACGCAAGTTTCTGGGCAATATCAGGCCAACTCACCACGTGCTTTTCAGGGCTTCCCTCCACTACTCACCAAATGTCCAAAACTAGAATGAATCTTCTGCTAGAACATGGAATTTTGCTGAAAGTCTCTTGAAATGTTGGGACCCTTGCAGATGCACTGCTGGGGTCCTTCGAGAAAAAGACGATTCAACAAGGAATATTTTTTTCTGTGCCCTTCGATTTTTTAGAAGGGAGGGGCACCATTTGGCTACCTCAGCCAGCCTGTGATACGCAACCTCACGCCCCCTCACGGTGTCCCCTACGGGGTCGCCGATCAGAGTTTTAGGAGGGGCGTGGCCGAGGATTTTTGGCCGTAAGGGTTGAGTCTCCCGGACGGAACGGGAGACCCTCGTTCCGTGCCAGAGGTTTTCCCCGGAGTCGAACTGTCGTCGCGGAGTCCCGTGGGGGTCGGATCACTCCGAAACGATAAAATCAAAAAGGTTTCCGCGAAAATGAATTGTCGTCATGCATCGGGACGGAAAAAAGGCGTCAAGGGGGGGAGGGCCATGGCGGCGGAAGACAAAATTTCGGCCGTCAGGGGTTTGGGGGATAGGTGGTTGGTTCGAGGCCTTCAAGCCTCGGCGTCGGACTCACAGAGTCCGCACGAAAATTTCCGGGAGGGTAAGGCGCGGGAGGACTCGCCGGCGCCTGAAATTCGAAATTGCGCGGGCAGCGCCCCCGCACTACGGGAAAGCTCGGGGAAACGTGTCGCTCCCTCGTAACCCAGGACAAGGCGTCGCCAAGAACACGAGTCCCCCTGGCGACACCAGCGACAATCAAACTACGGCCGCCACGCGGCGTGAGCGGCCGACCAGGGCAACACCGTCAAACCCGTATAAGGCAGTATTAGAGTCGGGGAATCAAAACGATCAATCAAAACAAAC